TTTGTATGTTTTGCACTTATCAAGGTATCAAACAAAGTTCGCGTTGGCAAATGGTTACTTTTGAGACCTGCAGATTGAATAAGTAGACCCAGTAATGCCTTTATTTTGTTAGCCAAGGTTTGTGTAGTAGTATAGTTAGATGTTTATTCTTATTGTTTTTATGTTATTTTATGAATGTTATATTATGTGGAATCCGTTCTGCGATACGGGCTTATTATGTGGGGCTATAGCACAGATGCAAAAAAAGGCATTCATTGCCCAAAAAAAATGTATTAAAGCAACATGTGGCACTGCACCTGATGAGCCTTGCAGGGCGCTATTTGTATCTCTAAAAATAGTACCCCTCCCATGCCTGTACATTTTTGAAATTGCAAAGTTTGTAAAACAAAACATGTACTATTTCAGACAAGCGAAAGAGATTTATACGCAAAATACCAGAAATTGCAACAGAGTTTCTGCTGAAATTATACCCAAGAGTGCTCGGTTTAAAAAAAACTGCAACTCAAATTTAATAAAATACCCGAAAACATAAAACACCCCTTAATAAATTTAAAGGCGCCCTTTACAGGTGGCTAAGTGATTATTGTTTTTATAATGTGAATGACTATCTAAATTTGACATGATCTGACGGAAAAAAATACAGAACTACTGTTGTAGTTCTATATTTTTAATTGCATTTTCAATTATAATTTTTTTTGAAATTACGTTTAGATACAAATTACATACTGATGAATAATATTTTTTGATCTTATTGATATAATAGAAAAGCTGAACTGGTTATTTGAATAAAAAAAAATGAGTGCAATTAGTTTAATTAAAATTTTCGTATTTTTAAAAAATGCTAAAAAGGGCTTGAAATAATAGATTTTCTCACAAAAGAAGGGAACTTGAAAAAAAAAAAGGAAAAATCGGACCGAACACAGGACGCTATATATATATATATATATATATATATATATATATATATATATATATATATATATATATATATATATATATATATATATATATATATATATATATATATGAACTTGAAAAAAAAAGGAAAAATCGGACCGAACATATAGCGTCCTGTGTTCGGTCCGATTTTTCCTTTTTTTTTTTCAAGTTCCCTTCTTTTGTGAGAAAATCTATTATTTCAAGCCCTTTTTAGCATTTTTTAAAAAATACGAAAATTTTAATTAAACTAATTGCACTCATGTTTTTTATTCAAATAACCAGTTCAGCTTTTCTATTATGTCAATAAGATCAAAAATATTATTCATCAGTATGTAATTTGTATCTAAACGTAATTTCAAAAAAAAAAACCGCACAAAGCTCGGTCATCCGGGTACTTATAATTGAAAATGCAATTAAAAATATAGAACTACAACAGTAGTTCTGTATTTTTTTCCGTCAGATCATGTCAAATTTAGATAGTCATTCACATTATAAAAACAATAATCACTTAGCCACCTGTAAAGGGCGCCTTTAAATCTATTAAGGGGTGTTTTATGTTTTCGGGTATTTTATTAAATTTGAGTATACACGTCCAGTTGCAGTTTTTTTTAAACCGAGCACTCTTGGGTATAATTTCAGCAGAAACTCTGTTGCAATTTCTGGTATTTTGCGTATAAATCTCTTTCGCTTGTCTGAAATAGTACATGTTTTGTTTTACAAACTTTGCAATTTCAAAAATGTACAGGCATGGGAGGGGTAGTATTTTTAGAGATACAAATAGCGCCCTGCAAGGCTCATCAGGTGCAGTGCCACATGTTGCTTTAATACATTTTTTTGGGCAATGAATGCCTTTTTTTGCATCTGTGCTATAGCCCCACATAATAAGCCCGTATCGCAGAACGGATTCCACATAATATAACATTCATAAAATAACATAAAAACAATAAGAATAAACATCTAACTATACTACTACACAAACCTTGGCTAACAAAATAAAGGCATTACTGGGTCTACTTATTCAATCTGCAGGTCTCAAAAGTAACCATTTGCCAACGCGAACTTTGTTTGATACCTTGATAAGTGCAAAACATACAAAGCTTGCATGAGTGTTGAAAGGTTCGAATTTTTACTGAGAAGTATGAGGTTTGATGACAGAAATACTAGACAAGAGAAAATAGAATCTGATAGACTGGCGCCAATTAGAAATTTCTGGGAAGAGTTTATAGAAAACTGCGGTAAATTGTACAAATCAGGTTCTTACATAACCGTGGACGAACATCTGGTCGGATTTAGAGGACGCTGTCCCTTTCGCATGTACATGTCTAATAAGCCCCACAAATATGGCTTGAAGCTTGTAATGATGGCTGATTTTAGTACTAAGTATGTACAAAGTATGTACAACGCTATGTTTTATATGGGAAAAAACACGAACATAGGTAAAGAACCTTTAGCACATTATTTTGTGAAGGAGCAATCTGAGCCGTACCATGGGTCGAATCGGAATATAACCATGAATAATTGGTTGACATCGGTTCCTCTAGCCGCTGAACTGTTGAAACCGCCATATAAGCTCACAGCAGTAGGTACTCTACGAAGCAATAAGCGAGAGATTCCCAAAGAAATGAAGAATTCTAGAAATAGACAAGTAGGTACTTCGATGTTCGGTTTCGATAAAGAAATTACTTTGGTGTCTTATAATCCGAAGTCAAATGAGGTTGTTTACCTTATTTTTGCTATACATGATTAACCTGCAATCAATATAAATTCTAAAAAGCCTGAAATTATTGAATTCTATAATCCCACAACGGGTGCGGTTGATACTGCAAACCAGATGTGCTAAGTCATGTGTACCAGCCGTAATACCAATCGATGGCCGCTGTGCTTATTCTACAACATTCTAAATCTGTCTATAGTGAATGCATATGTCATTAATGCGACCAGAAATGGAAAAAAAACCCAAGAAAAATGCCTTTTGCATTACTCGTAGAAATGTCAGACGAATTGATGAAGCCTTGGCTGAAAGAGAGATATCAGACTGTAAATTTGCAACGAAATTTGAAGCACATCATCGCAGAGATCTCAAAAATTGATGATATTCAGGAAGGTTCTAGTCAGGACGGTCCCAGAATCCGAAAAATTTGCAGTTACTGTCCTGCAAAAAAGTCGTATGACCACTAACTTCTGCAAGGGCTGAAAAAAGCTATTTTCAGGGAGCATATTGTTTCCATGTGAAATCATGGTTCAGTGTAGCTGTTACGGCCCTCAGTTGGCCCGACAAAAGTCGACTGGGCTAGGCCCATAGTAACCCAACTCGACGAGCAACCGAGGGGAAGGCCCTAATGGCCTATGGATAATTAATTTATAATGGCTGCATATAAGCAAACACGGCGGCAAAGAGCACCTTGCAAGTTTCAAGTTGCCACGATTTGGCCTAAACAGTAGCTTATTTCCAAAACAGATTATGTCATTTGATTAAGAGAACACTAAGACTGCTAATATAGGTCGTGTCCGACCGAGCTTTGTGCGGTTTTTTTTTTTGAAATTACGTTTAGATACAAATTACATAGTGATGAATAATATTTTTTGATCTTATTGACATAACCCCTCGTCTGCCGGCCGGTCATTTTGCAAATATGTCGCGTCTGCTAGGGCCTTAGGAGGTAATTTCGCGATATCGGCGCGTGGCGATTAAATTAGTAATTTCTCTAAAATATTGTATGGAAGCTATGTATAAAACTTATGTCATATGAATTGTTATATTATTTGCTATTACTCTGTAGATATCTTACTTGAATACAACTTAATAGATTTTATTAAGCCAATTTCAAAGTTGGAAAACCAAATTTTTAATAGTATTTTGTGCATAATTTGTGAAAATTAAACAAAAAAATCATTCTTTTATAAAATAAATGTAATTTATTTTAATCAATATATACTAATTTATAATAAAAAAGCAAAAAAACCACACATTCCTTTATATTTTTACCCCAAAAAGTTTTTTTACAATCTTAATACATTAACGGCAACCCAAGCGTCGCACAAAGAAATAGCATATATTGTTAGTTTTATTTTGAGAAATGAGCAAGTCAAGTGGCGTGCGATAATTTTAACATTAAGTATGGCTCAAATTCTTAATTTAGATAAAGTTTCATTTGTAAAAAGTATGTAATGTATTTTTAATCAACAATAGAGATAAATGTAAGGTAAGTAAGTATAACGACGGTTTATGTTCGATTTTTTTTTATAAAAAGGATACATATCCCTAAATTATGAATTAAAAACTGTTGGTTATTAACCCTTCCATGTCTAAATAGCACCAAATTTCACTATTTGTTCGATTTACGAATAAAAATAAGGACAAAAACCGGGACGGGTGACCACATAAAAGCGACGTTCGCATGCGACTGCCACACAGGATGTTTATTCGAAATTTCTAAACATGGCAGTACTTTAGTAGCTTTGTATCGCATCCTCTTTCTTTGGTTTATAATTTTCTATAAGTAAAAATGTGATAGAAATCGTTGTCGCTGGTTATTTTACCCCCAAATACGCAGTCACGGATCGGCCAGAATCTGGTCGCTTGCCACACAAGGGGATAATAGAAAAGCTGAACTGGTTATTTGAATAAAAAACATGAGTGCAGTTAGTTTAATTAAAATTTTCGTATTTTTAAAAAATGCTAAAAAGGGCTTGAAATAATAGTTTTCTCACAAAAGAAGGGAACTTGAAAAAAAAAAAGGAAAAAATCGGACCGAACACAGGACGCTATATATATATATATATATATATATATATATATATATATATATATATATATATATATATATATAGTATTGTATTGTATAAGGTATATTGAGTATATTGAGCATCGGTAATTTGCAAACGATGACTATTTTATGATGAATATTTTAATTGAATGCGATATTTTAATACAGTAAACTTACTTATTAAAAATGTATTTGAATGCTATCCATAGATTGCTTAAAAAGCTGAACTACACTTTACAATAACCACCTTAATGTACCCTTTTCGAAGCAAATAAATCTTCATTTCATTTCATTTCATTTCTCGTTCGTATATTGTACGATAAAGTCGATCATTTCCTCCTTTACAAAAAGATAAAATAAGTCTTTTGGTTGTGAGAGTTCTTCAGCTCTGCCTGTGGGACCAGGTACAATATGCAGCACATCACGAGCAGCCGTGTGAGTACGCGGGTCTCTAGGTTTTGTAGACCATTTGTGGTGATTCTTACCGTACAGGATATTTTGTCTTGGTTGAATGATTGATTGCTGATGTGGTGGTTTCTCACGTTCGGGATCCATCTGATTCATGCATGGTCTCAGTGAAATCTCATCATCGGAATCTATGACTTACCTTCGACTATGAATGCGACGTGTAACGAAGTACTCGTTGTCCGACAAATCTGCAGCATCCTTGTCATTTCCATCAGTTTTGATATGAATTTCCACTTCAATTATCTCTACATGATTACCATCCTTGGATGCCGAAGACTGTGATTGAGTACCGGTGATTCACTCCGTTTCTGAATCAACTTACCATTGTACAACTTTTTTATCTAGGCTCACCAAATCCATCTAAAAGTATAAAAAACAAAAACTAAATGCATTTCAAATCTAAAATAAAACAACAAAATGATAAAAAGTTGCAAATATCATTGGAATCTATTATAAGATATAGCAATTATTGCAATGCTGACTTTAGTGACTCTTGGAGTGGCTGGGGTAGATTTCGGGGCGTCACTAACACCCGGTTCTGAGAATTCGAAGGTTAAACTGGCTTCTTCCCTTTTGACCACTTTTGGCTTAATAAAATATATATAAATCTAAAGAACACGCGACAACAATATAAAACAACTACAAAAGACCACGCAATTATACGCATGAATAACCACAAAAATAAAATATTAATAAACTTTAAAACATTTAAATTAGATTAGACAAAGGAACATGAAAGATTAAAAAGCTTTTTATACGTGGTAGAGCCATGCTGCAGTTATACTCGTATTAGAAGTATAGTTGTGGCACGAATGGGTCGGCTCGACCAGGGGGGGGACCACGCTCTCACAGAATACCAGCGTGAAATAGTAGTTTAATGCTGCTGTATTTCGTATGGTGAGTGTAGAGAACTGGAGACCCTTTTTACTGGAAACGAGGCATTCTATCTTAGTCCTCACGGGTGGCAACGCATCTGCATTTGCAATGATTCGTAATTGAGGATAGATGTGGATGTCTATGGGCCACAGCAACCACTTACCATCAGGTGGACTGTGTGCTCGTTTGTCACCCTATCCTAAAAAAAAAGCTCTGGCTTATACAGTCTAGACAAAACAATGACCAACAACTCACAGTACTAGGAATGCGTGGGCAACGGCTGCAAACTGATAAGCGGAACATTTCGATGATAAACGCATTTTCTGTAGCACACTGGAACGGAATACGATGAATTTCTAGTTATCGAAATCTTCGACGATATTTATTTTATGGGAATGGATGCTTTTCAGATTAATTCTTCCAAATGATTTCTTCTTCTTCCAAATGATTGCTTCCAGATGGAAGCAGATGACGGCGATTCAGGATGCAGTCGCGGGTCTTCCTTTGTGAGTATATAGATTCCTTTCTAGGAATAAATTGGGTCTCCGTAATGGAATTGACATCTAGGCCGTAGCGATAAGTATAGCACTTGCATTGTATTTGGATTCACTAGGACGCGTCAGGACAATTCAGGATAATATTTAGTTTGATACGGAGCGAGTCTGCTGAGCGGTACCACTTCACTTGACACTGGGGATTTCCGTATTCCACCGCTGCCACCAAAATGTTATACGGAGATGGGCTAATTGGTTTTTAAATAAAGAATAATTTACACTGAAATTTAATCATAGTTTAAATTGATTATACATTAGAAATCGATTTGATTTTAATTTAGATCCGTAGACAACTGAGCAGGTTTGAAGATGGAAACTGACTGAGGTCGCCAAACTGCTCCACTGCAATACTCACTGAACCTTAAGGCTAAGTCAACATTATTAAGAGGCAGTACAGCACTAAGGCTAACAAATATAGGGTATAACAGTTCGGTAGTTAGCAAAGTGCGGTACGTGCAGGTGAAATTGCCATTAGTCAAAGAAAATATATATCGCTGCTGATTTGTTGTGCAGTGAAGTAAAAGTTGGACTAAAAGGATCCTAATCATCATCATCACAAGTCTACTGCTAAACAAATAATTCCCCCAAAAAATCCTAAAAAATCCTACCAAAAATGTTTGTCACGATATGTGATCGAGGAGAAAAATAAACGACGTCCCCTTTCAATATATTGCAAAAAAAAAAAAAAAATTACTAAGTATTAAGTTAGTTCTTTTGTACCCACGTCAAATATCGTGACAGACCCTCGATCCGAATCAATTTCAATGTTTTCGTATGACCCATGGTTGCAAAATAAAGATAAAGCCAAAATTGTCACAAGTAAACATTTATATAACCTGTTTTTTATCTAAACCTGTTATGATTTTTTTATATTTATATTTAATGTGGTGTGCAAGATAATGTTGTGACAATGATTAAGCAAGAAATGCTTCGGTGGTTTGGTCATGTAGAAAGAAAGAACGAGGAAGGAGTGACAAAACAAATTTATATTGCAGATGTGAACGGCAGAGTCCGCTAGGTACGCCCTAGAAGAAGGTTCATCAACCAAATTGGTGATATTTTGAAAATGGGTGATATTAGGAGTACCCTTAATCGACGAGCGTGTATACGTAGATATAAGGATGTAAAGGAGGCGAGAGAGATATGTCAGGATCGTGTCAAATGGAAGTCCATAGTCTCTGCCTATCCCCCTGAGTGACAAGCGTGAGTGTTTATGTTATTTTATATTTTTTATCAAGGATAAGCCAAAGCATTCACTAATCATAAGGTGGTCCGTGTGCTCGTTATTCACACTTATTCTATTTAAAAAATGTTTCTGGTGTAAGTAGAAGAGCAACAAAGATTAAATAAACCTTTTATTACGTAATGATTTCTTATATTTACGTGAACACTATACACGATTAAAACTACTTTTACGGATTTTATCGCGTTTATTTTCACTTTTTATTTATTTTTATTTTTAATTCCCGACGTTTTGGGCGCTTTCCAGCACCCATGGTCACGGGGGACTGAGATGACTGACGTCCCGATGTCATTGTTAAACCCGGAGTACCTTCAGCTTTTTTAATTATTGTTTATGGTCCGATCTATGCAAAATGAACTGACTATGTCCTGAGGTCTTGCAGTGGTATGCTTGGGTTTAGTTTTAATTTTATTGATTATAGGATCTCAAGCAGGTGGTAGTACCCAGCCTCCTTCTCTATTGAAATTAGGATGTTTTTTTAATTTCAATAGCCTCACGTATCATCCTTGGTAGGAATCGGTGTTCTTTCGCGAGGATTTGTGGTCTATCAAATCTGATGTAATGGTTGGGTCCGTCTAGGATATGATCACAAACTGCAGACTTCCCGGAACGTTGATGCTTCACATCAGCTATATGTTCTTTTACGCGGGTCCTAATTGATCTTTTTGTTTGTCCTATATAAGAGAGACCACATTCACAATCAAGCTTGTACACTCCTGCATCTTGTAGAGGAATATGACACTTAGCGGATGGTAGGAACTGACTAATCTTCTTCGGCGGCTTGTAGAATGTTCTAATAGAAGCTCGCTTCAAGATATAGCCAATCTTGTCTGTGACACCTCTGACATATGGTAGTACAGCAGGCACACGCTCGACTGTGGCCGGCTTCACTCGGTCACTGTGACGTAGGCGCGGGACCCGAAGCTTGTTGCCGTGCAGAACTTGTTTGACGTGCTGAAGCTCGGCGGCCAGGTGTTTGCTGTCACAGATCCCTCGTGCTCTCTGTAACAAAGATTTGCCCACGGTAGCTAACTGTGAAGGATGGTGGTGAGATTCACCGTTTAAATATCGGTTTGTATGGGTCCTTTTCATATACACAGTGTGACCAATTCTGCTATTAGGATTTCGGATGACTAACACATCTAGGAAAGGTAAGGAATTATTTGCCTCTAACTCCATAGTAAATTCGGGATATAACGTCGAAAAAAACGTCGGGAGTTAAAAATAAAAGTAAATAAAAAGTAAAAATAAACGCGATAAAATCCGTAAAAGTAGTTTTAACCTTTTATTACGACTTAAAAAAATGCGATGAAAAACACTTACAGAAATAAATAAAGTACGGTTATCATAACGGTAATTGTGACGTAAGCATTGGTTTTCCAAGAGAAGAAGAAACCTAATAACAGGAAAATACGGCTATAGAAGTAGAAAAGAAAATGATTAACGAAATAAATTAAATAATAAAATCTATTTATTTCTCTTAGATACATAACATAAATAATAGGTCAAGAAAAAATTTTCTTCCTATTTTGTTTCTATAAAATTAAAGAAAAATTTTATATATAATATACCGTTTTTACCTGGCTGGTTAATAACTCATCCAAATAAAAACGATATTTCCGCTATTAGTACAGCGCTAGGTGCAAGCTAGTATGTAACAAAATATTTTATTTAATCTAAAATAATTATAAAAGTTGAAACCAACCTTGGTTTTGTTAATTGTCAGAGCAAGAAGGAAAGGGAAAAAAGAGAAAAATAGATATGTGGGTTCCATAATATATTGTTACGTACTGAACTCTTCGTACAGTAACCAAACTCGATAACTCAATATTCGTATAACAACGCGAAAACAAGATAGTATTTATACAAGATGGCTAATGCTAGGAGACAATGGTGATATTGAAAGATTTTCTAAATGTATAGTTTATAAGAAAGTACGAATCTATCGTTATTAACAACAAAGTTTTCGTAAAATTAAAGTGTGACACCAAGATACAAAGTTTCTATGTGGAAATCAGTGACCTCAATAGTACAAGTATCCATCCATCTATTAATTACAGCCTATAAAAGTCTGAGCTCAATAGAATATACTTAAGTTTTATTTATATGTATAGGTAACTATAAAAGAATGAATATCTTTCAAACAAGTTAGTTAAGTAAGTTAGTGGAGTAAGTTAGTTAAGTAAGTTAGCTAAGTAGTAACTGTTGCTTATAGACACCTTCACCTATCCATGATTAAGAATAAAAATTCATATACGTTATAATCGCCAGGCGGGATGCCAGTTTACCGGTCAAAAAGATTACCAAATCTCGTCACTCTCCATACGAAACACATCAGCAGTATGCTGATATTTTAAGTTGGAATTCTGTACAAACGTGGTCCGTCCTGGATCGAACCGATCCATTCGTATTTCTGCCGTCAT